GGGGGGGGGTTGAGGTTTTTTTTGTTTTTGTTTTTTAAATCAAAAAATGAGTGAAAACTGAGAGCTGGCATCTTGAGGGGTGACTTGAATCTAAAAAGGTTGAGAACCATTGCACTAGATTACCATTTTACCAGTGTGGTCATTATGATCATTCAGATAGTCTTCTGTGATCTTGCTTTTGGTCACTAGTGATAATGTGTCCTGTTTTTCTAACTCCGTAGATTGAAAGGATACAAAATCCATACTACTGGAAGGCCTACCAGATAAAAAAGGAGGAGATGAATACCAAAAATGGCAACACGAATAATGAAAGACTTCTGTTTCATGGAACAACGAGTAACTCGCTCACCGCAATTAATTTCAAAGGATTTAATCGCAGTTATGCTGGAATGAATGGTAATGTGTTGAGAGCTACTTGTTTTGAACAGGCATGGGGTGTATCTGTCTCTATATCTGTATACTGTATACTTGTGCCTTGCGTGATTTATTGGCTCCTTTCTGTCTGAACGTTATTCTGTAGGTGCTGCAGGTGTTCTTGGTTCCAGTCACAGTTGAAGTTTTTTAAGTAATGGCACTTAGCCATTTCATAGCTCCTTTCATTAAAGCAACATACCCCAAAATGTGTGGCCCACTCCCTGAGGAGGGGGTGGAAAAGGTTTCTAGGGGAGGGTGCAGCAGATGAAAATAGCAAGGGGAATGGGCAGTAGCGGAGGAGAGATTCGGCAGCAGCTGGGGAATTGCTGGTAACTGGCAGCTTAAGTTGAGGAGCATGTATAAACACCCAAAGGTAAGGAACCACTGCACTAGAAGATTTTAAAGAACTTGAACGTGGCATAAAGTAAGAAAGTACCGTATTTTGTCACCTGCAACACAGCCTGGAGTAAGATGCAGACCTTGTTTTTGAAAAGTGGAATGAAGAAGAGATCTTTCCTTGTAGCAAGTAGCTGAGTGGCAGCAGCTAGAGAGCCAGGCTTGCTGATTGTTCTGCTTCCTGTGGATCCCGTGTGCTTTCCCTTTCACCTGGCAGAGGCTTATATTGAAAAAGGCTGTTACTGTATTTCCTCACTTATAATGCACAACCCAATTTCCAGCAGCTAGTTGGGTGGGGAAGGGTTTCTTCTGTGTTAGAAAATACTGTACTGCTCTTTCATAGAAAGCAAACAGAGGCTTGCCGGTGAGCCAGCAGAAGAACTGAAAGTGGAACCTGGGTGTTTAGACTCCCAGGTCCCTGTTTTGGCCACACTACCATGTCAGTTTATGCATCTCTGCACTTCAGGGTCAAGAATAAACTTAGACGGTGACATACTGATTCATTATCAGACTTTGCTGTGGATAAGGATAACTTTCAGCTGCTTGAAAAGAAGAGAAGGAGTTTGTGCTTCAGCTGTCATGGTGTAACTGTTAGGTCTGCCTGCTTCTGGCAGTGTAAGGATGTGGACAGATATAATACTTACAACATTTGTAAGTTAACTTTAAGCTCCAAGAGTCTAGCTGTTGATGCCATGTAAGAATGGTTTTAATCTCCTGGAATGTTTTCATAGTTTCTAGGGTTGGAAGGGACCTGAGAAGATCATCTAGTCCGACCCCCTGCCATGGCAGGAAAGAGTACTGGGGTCAAATGACCCCAGCAAGGTGTTCGTCTAACCTCCTCTTAAACCCCCAGGGTAGGAGCCTGCACCACCTCTCTTGGAAGTTGGTTCCAGACCCTAGCCGCCATGAAATAGCGCCTCCTGATGTCCAACCTAAACCTACCCTCTGCCAGCTTGTGACTCTTATTCCTGGTCACTCCTGGCTGTGCTCGGGGGAACAGTGACTCCCCCAATGCCTGCTGATCTTCCCTGACTAGTTTATAACAGGCCACGAGATCCCCCCTCCTCCTCCTTCCCTTTTGGAGGCTGAACAGGTTCAGGTCCCGTAGCCTCTCCTCATAGGGCCTGCCCTGCTGTCCCCTGATCATGCGAGTGGCCCTCCTCTGGACCCTCTCCATGCTGTCCACATCCCTCTTGAAGTGCGGCGCCCAGAACTGGATGCAGTACTCCAACTGTGGCCTGACCAGTGCCGCATAAAGGGGGAGGATCACCTCTCTGGACCTGCTCGAGATGCATCTGTGGATGCATGACAAGGTACGGTTGGCCTTCCTAACTGCCTCCCCACACTGCTGACCCATGTTCATCTTGGAGTCAATGATGACTCCAAGATCCTTTTCCACCTCCATGCTGACAAGAGGGGAGTTCCCCAACCTGTAGGTATGGTGCCGGTTGTTCCTCCCCAGGTGCATCACCTTGCGCTTGTCTGTGTTGAAACCCATCCTATTCTCATCCGCCCACCCTTCTAACCTGTCTAGGTCAGATTGTAGCCTGTTGCTTCCTTCTAGTGTTCCTTCTAGTTTTCCCTGCGCTGGGGTTGAAAAACCGAGATCTTGTGGGGTGGGCAGGGGGGATGCAGAGAAGTAGAGCATCCAGTGCCTAGGCCACCACAAGTAAGGGGTCACATAGCACTTTTCAGCACTTGATAACTCTTCCACCCCTCCTCCTACCTTAAATTAGCCTGGAAGCCCTGGAGCATAGGGTTGTAGCAGGGAGCTGAAATTTGACAAGCTCCTTTCCAGCAGGAGGGTTGAAAACCTGCAGACATTTTTATGAGAAGTCCGCAAAGCACTTGGCACCCTGGTCACCACAAATTAGGGAGCCACACAGCACTCCCAGCACCTGGCAACCCCTCTGCTCCCACCCCTGCCCCAGATCCCACTGAGTGGAGTCCATTTCCCATCTTGGGGTCCAGGCTGTTCCCAACCTCCACTTGTGTATCCTCAGTTGGGGTGTCCCCACATAGATCTTTGTAAAGTGGAGTTATGTTCTTCATTAAACTCAGTCAGTCCACTTTGAGAAGTGGGAGCAAATATTGCAGTTTTAGGCCATGATGTCTTCCTTTTTCTTGGTGACTGGCTAGTCCAGGTCTTCATCCCTTGTCCTAATGGAATCCTAGGGAAATTCTGGGCACTGATCTGGATACTCTGCAACTCCCTGGCGATGGCTTGGCAGCAGCATGATCTGTAAGAGGTGACATGTTGTGCTTGGAACTCTTAGCAGTGTGCATGTGGACACTTCTGTCCAGGGACAAACATGAACCAGTTCCCAATCAATGACATTCCTGGAACAGGCTAGGTGTTATGTCTGCTTGCACCCCAAGTCAGCTACAATGGTGTATCACTGGAACGCTGAATGAAACAGGGTTCAAGTTAAAGCAGTTTTGTCATGTCCATACCCTTGTATCAGCATGCAGGTGTAGCAGCTCCACTGTCAGGTTGTACTGGTATAATTCCAGACCAATACACTGGCTACCTCTGGGACCACACTTGCATCGGATATGGGTCATGCGAGGAAATTAAAGCAATCACTTAAGTCCATGCCCTCTTCCCCTTTAACACAGATAATAGTTTCATGGCTCATAATTTAGCTTCTCACACTGCTGATCTCTCTGTGCTCCACAGGTAATAATGACCCTTCTCCTTTTTGAACCATCCTACTGTTATATTAGTTTGATCTGTTTCAACTATCCTTTGCTTGTTCTGTAGCCACTTCTGGTAACTCCTTGTGCTTGCTACCATCTTCCCCTTCCCCTTCCTTTTACGTAATGGAGTTAAAAATCCTTGTTTTACCTAGTTGTGAAAGAGGTAAACGGCAGGAGCTGCCTGCTAAACTCTCCAAATCTAGTGTATTGGGTTCAGTGTAATCTTTGCTGTTCTCTCTGGCTAACCCTTCTACTTTGACTTCTTGTCTCCTCATGGTGTCTAGGACTACTTAAATCTCCTCCCAGTCTCTGCCCAATACGAACGGGTAAGGTAGGTCATTGGCTAGACCTACTGGCATCTCACTATCACACTAGTGTTTAGCTTTAGCCTATATCTGCTCTCCTTTGGGGGCATAAAATAATATTCTGCAAGAAAAGCTTATCTAACATCTTTCCCAAGTAGATAATTGGCCTGATTAAGGTATTGCCAAACAAACCCTCCTTCCAGTATTTCTAATGCATTTATCACACTTTAGGAAGCTTCAAGGAGTCGAGTTGTACTTGCTCTTAAAGTAACCCTAGGACTGTAGCTGTTATTTCTAGTGTTCGATTTTAAAGGGGCTAATTGAAAGCATCAAGAGCAGTTGTTGAAAAGATACCTATAAGATTTGTTAAGTTAACTCTTTGACTTTACAAAGGAGAATCATGGAGCATCACCTGATTTTTTTTAAAACTCAAAGCCCACAACCAATCAGAATGTTTTTAACACTATGGATTCCTATTTGAAATCTCTGGATTTATCATGTGAATCAACTTATGGTACCCTGATTTGAGAATCACTGCCTTAGTTGAAGCATTTTTACTTTTCATTAACTTCAAGGCTTCTATTTCTGTTTTTAACTCAAACTACAAATTGGAATTTCCCCCTCTTCTTCTAATTTTTCTTCATTTGAAGGTTGACTTGCTAGGTTTCAATAACTCTTTTCAATTTTTTTTTTCTGGGCAATGCAGTTGATATTACTTGAATGCAAAAGCATTGGTCCTCTATTCTGAGCAAGCGGAGGTGGGGTGAATAATTCTATAACTTTGTTGGTATCTTAGACAGAGTAATAGTTTTCTGATGAAATGGCCACAAGGATCTAATAATTTATAATTAATAATGATCTCTTTGGGGCATATTTATACCCATCTCTGCTGATGAGTTACTGTTTGTTTCAGCCATTTTCTCCAGAGATCTGAGAGAGAATGGATTGCAGAATAAGAAGTAGTGCCACTACTATTCTAACCTTGGTAACAGAATAATTATAAACTATAAACTGATGCAGAGTAGGCCACCCAGAGGCAAACAGGCAAAATATCTTTCAGCAGCTGCTCCACTGTGGGAGAGAAACCTGCTAAGTCATAACTTGGTTCAATATTCTGCTTGATATTGATAAAAAGTTTTCATTAGCAACCTGGAATACAACTAATGCCCTCATTCCAGTCTATAATACTCATTCTTATTGCTGATGAGGTTGGGCAGAGGCTGCAGGCATTTGGGTATATGGAAAAGTGAAAGAGATGATGATTGCACATGAAAAAATCTTCAAACCTTTGTGTTTCTGATCACAGCTGCAAACTTTGGTAACGGAACCTACTTCGCTGTCCATGCCAGTTATTCGGCCCATGACACCTACTCTAAACCAGATGCAAATGGGAAAAAGTATATGTACCTGGCTCAAGTCCTCGTCGGAGCGTATTGCAACGGGAGAAAAGGAGATATCACTCCACCAGCAAAAAATCCCACCGATCCTACAGATCTGTATGACAGTTTGACAGATAACGTGAATCAGCCATCCATGTTCATCATATTTAATGATATTCAAGCTTATCCAGAATATCTCATTACTTTCACCAGATAAATGTTCTTGGCACACAAGAAGAGGGGAGGGCGGGATGTGAAGCTTCTTTATTTGGTAAGAGTACCTCAAAAACTATTGGCTGATAACAAATGTGCAATGATGGACAGTATAAGAATTGAACATCATGACTTGAAATGTTTTACATTACATTTGAACATCCGTTGCTTAAGCAAAACTTTTTATACTAGCCAACAAAAGGACTACTTAAAAATGTCAGCCTCTGTAAACTGGTAACACGGGTACCCCGCATGAAGTTTTAAGTTCAATGTCAGATAAAAACTCTTCAGTTAGATTGCATGATGGAAAGCTTTCCACTGTTCCCAGTCAAATGTTAACTGTTAGCCTTTCGTATGTGGAATTATGAACATGCAGAGCTGATAACTCTACAAGGCTGCTACTAAATTGCCAAGCTTTTACAGTAGAGTTTGATATTAGTATAAATCATAGAACAACTATGCCTATTAATCAAGCCTTTAAATGAGCAAATGTCCAAAACAGTTTTTATTTCTAATTGGATTTTCTATCTGTATCTCTAATGATGATGGCAAAATGTTGCACTTTTGGTTTTTTGTAATAAATGGCTGCTGTACATTGCATTTTTGTTAGCTTTTTGTTCAGATGTAGCTGGCATTTCTTTTTATACTCTTTATCACATTTCAAAATTTGTCCATACATTTTCAAATCTGTAAAGTCTCAAATCAAGTTTTGCTTTTAAAAGCATTTTCATCATGGGACTGTCCCATATTGCACTGATTACTTCTTAAAACAAAATGACACTGGAACTTTACATAACAAGAGTCACATATCCACATACTTCCATTCATCCACAGTGAAGAGCAGAAACGCTTAACTAACACGCAGTAGTCTTTTTTTAATTTGTAGAATTGAGCCCTTTGTGTAATTTTTAATGCACCTTTTTTCATAAGCTATTACAGAAGCAACACTTATTCCAAAATGGAAGAGTTATAGCTATAGCGAGAATATTTTTTCCAGAGCTACACCACTATCTTGCAGATATTGAGGAGTTTTGATTCAGTGCAGCTACGCCAGTGCACCAGGTTGACACAGGTAAGTCATACTGCCACCTACCCAATCCATACCACCGTAGTGAATCTACACTGCAAAACTCTCCACAGCAAAGTCCTTAGGAAGTCCTGTACCACTGCTAAAGGTAAACACTCCCACTCTTTTTTTTTCCCCACACTGAAATATCGGTTTGCTGCTGTTTCTTTTTTAAGAGTTTGTGTGACCTTACAGGCAGTAGGAGGAAGTGAGCATGGAATGAAACTATTGCAGGGAGAGGTCAACTTGATACAGAAAGGAAACTGCTCAGCTCTCAGTCCCACTTCGGACATAACACGCTAGCTGACTCTCAGTACTTTTTAGGGCATTGATGCACGTACCTCTGTCTGCTCTAATGTGCCAGATATCCAGCGCGTTGGAGCAAACTCGATTAATAGTCTGTGGAGCACGGAAGCTGATGCACCCAGCTTGGCATCGCATGCATTTGTATAAACAGTGAAATGTGTGTCAGCACGCGGAAAATGGCAGCTGTGCGCTTTTGAACTAAAACATCTTCGATGTATTTTAGTTCAAAAGCATGCTGCTGCCATTTTCTCAGCACTCATGCGCATTTCACCACTTATACAAGTGCATGTGCCATAGCACGGGGCACTTGTAAAAGCGTCCAGTGCTGCAGCACATGCCTGTGTACAAATGCCCGTAGTTATTAAGGCACTCGCCTGGTGAAACAAACCAGGCCTCATTATTGTGGTTGACTTGAAAGGAGCTGCTGTTTTTGCTACTTGCACAATCTGTGTCCAGTCAATAAGTAAATTGCTTTCACAAGCTATTATTAGGCATTGGGATCACCCAGCCACTGACTCCCCTCTGTCAGGATGAAAACAAACAGTAAAGTGCTCACCTGTGCAAAGTTAGCAAAGAGGCATAGCTCTGCCTGACTTGTCCTTCTGTTTGCTAACTTTGCACAGGTGAGCACTTTGTTGTATAAACATAATAGAAAATAGGCATAGCTCTGCCTGACTTGTCCTTCTATTTTCTATCACATTCTATTTTCAGTGAAGTGCTGTATCCTCGCATATTACCAATTGAATCAGTATTGGCCAGTGTGGCTCATTAATAATTGACCATCGGTATTGGTCCAAAAAATATCAGTGCACCCCTAGCATTTCCCATGTTTATGGGCTTTGCTGGTTGCTCCTGTCCCCTCACCCCCAATTTTTTTCTGCTGTGTGTCAGGATGCTGTTAAACTTCCCCAGGGGCACTGGGTGTTGGCTATAGCTAAGGCTGGGGACTTCAACAGGTTTACCGATTGTCCTGCTAAGAGTGAAGCCTAGCAGAGGGTTCCTGGCTAGAGGGTCTTGCCCTCTGCTCAGGGTCAAACCAGTGGCCATATTTGGGGTCAGGTCTGACCCCATGATCAGATTGGTATGGACTGTGAGGGGTTTTGCAAGGGATGTGGCCCTCCTACCTGGGACCTCTCGAGAGTAAATTGACAACATTTCATAGAAGCCGGGCATGGGCTGCTATGGTTCCTCTGCTTTACCTGTGGCAGATTAGGGCATTAGGCCTGTGTTTGTATTGAGGTTGAGGGTAGTCTTTTATGTAAAGGTTAGGCTACGGTTGTATGGGATGGTCTGGATGGGGATGATTTGGGAGGCTGAGATGCAGATTGGTTCCATAACAGTGCTGCTAGTAACTGGAGACATCACCAAGGAAAATACAGATGCTATCATAAACGCATCCAGGGGAACATTCAGTGCCAAATGAGGTATGTTATTACATATTGTGGATTGCAATTTAGTGATTCGTTGCAACAAGCAGCAGTGAAAAGGGGAGAAATATCTTTATGTGAAACCTTTATAAAGTATTTTCTCAACCTGGAGAGAGAGAGAGTGATAAAGCTCTGCACTTTGGGTAACTTTACATTTATAGCCCAACGTACTTGTCATTTCATTGCTGGACTTTGAATTAGCAGGGCTCAGCATCTTGGAGATTTTTGACCTGGTGGGAGTTTTGGTTATTGAAGGAATCTAAATTCTAGCCCTTGCTGCTTGAAAACAGGGCAAAGTGTATGATAACTTATAGTTTCATAGTTTCTAGGGTCGGAAGGGACCTGAGCAGATCATTGAGTCCGACCTCCTGCCATGGCAGGAAAGAGTACTGGTGTCAAACGACCCCAGCAAGGTGTACATCTAGCCACCTCTTAAAGACCCCCAGGGTAGGAGCCAGCACCATTTTGCTTGGAAGTTGATTCCAGATCCTAGACGCCCTGACGGTGAAGTAGCGCTCCCTGATGTCTAGCCTAAATCTACCCTCTGCTAGCTTGTGACCGTTATTCCTGGTCACTCCTGGTCCTGCTTGGGGGAACGGCCTCTCCCAATGCCTGCTGGTCCCCTCTGACTAGTTTGTAACAGGCCACTAGATCCCCCCCCCCTCCTTCTCTTGTGGAGGCTGAACAGGTTCAGGC